AGTCTCAGAGTCTCAGAGATACAGCTTCCGTTAAGCCCTGCGTCTAAGATGAGTCGGGCTTCAGTGGCCATGACTTAACAAAACAACAACTTGACACCTCTGCAGCCGCTGATTAGCAGACAAAGAGGAGACAGAGGTGCTGATGTTTACTGTCTTGCTAATGAGACGTCGGCTTCCTAAACGACCCACGCTATTCATAAGTAGTAGCCGCTGGTGTCATGAAATGCATGAATGAAATGACAGTTCGGGGAGGAGGATAACAAGGTCTAAGAGGAGGGAGGGAGAGAGAGAGAGAGAGAGAGAGAGAGAGAGAGAGAGAGAGAGAGAGAGAGAGAGAGAGAGAGAGAGAGAGAGAGAGAGAGAGAGAGAGAGAGAGAGAGGGGTGGAAGAGAAGGTACATGTGTTTTTCATTATGATTCGTTAATGTTGCCAAACTGTTAACACAGAGAGGATCTTTATCCAGTTTATCTCTTCGTGGATAAGAGAAGGATCATGCCGGAGTACAGAAAGGTGAGTAGAGGTGCAAGGTAATATCTCTCTTGCTAAAGAAAATCTATAGCACAAATGATTAAGAATAACACATGTTAAAGTCTCACTCGTCCAATCTCGTTTCATGCAGGTCGGCGTTCAATCCCCGACTGTCCAAGTGGCTGTCCATTCCTTTTCCCCCCGTCCCATCCCAAATCCTTATCTTGACCCCTTCCCAGGGCTATATAGTAGTCATGGCTTGGTGCTTTCCCCCCTGATAATTCCCTCGTCCAATCATTATATCTTTCACGATACCAGAGCCCCCCCCCCCAAAAAAAGTCCCCAGTCATCCACAGCTTCATTCGACCAGGTGTACCCCAACCACTTGGGCTGGATGGTAGAGCGACGGTCTCGCTTCATGCAGGTCGGCGTTCAATTCCCCGACCGTCCAAGTGGTTGGGCATCATTCCTCACCCCCCCGTCCCTTCCCATATGCTTATCCTGACCCCTTCCCAGTGCTATATAGTCATAATGGCTTGGTGCTTCTCCTGATAATTCCTTCCGTGGACCAGGTGTGCAGTGTTCCTCGTACACCTCCACACCTGCAGTAACCCACACCTGCATAAGACCTGGTATACAGTCTTGAATTGTCACATACATTATACACAAATAAATGTACGTCCCTCTTACGAATTGCTTTCGTCCAGTCTTGTGTCCCACTACGTGTGTGTTCCAAGCACTCTTGGCTCCCACACACTTACCCTTTCCTCACGCACTCACTCTCACCTTCCTCACGCACTCACTCTCACCTTCCTCACGCACACACTCTCACCTTTCTCACACTCATTCTCTGCTTCTTCTACACTTCATACTCTAAATTTCAGTTGAACATACGCTCTTTACCAGCCCGTAGTCATCCATTCCTTCAACATGACCAACAAATCTCAGTTGCACTATTGCACTACATAGCTCTCCTTGACTTCTGTTTTTCTTATTCTCCTCTAACACTTGACATTGATTCTCAGATCGTCCAGTTCTACTGTTCTAATCTTTGACTTTTAGTACATCAGACCCTCGCCTCACATCAATTAATACATCAGACCCCTAGTCTCGCATCAATTAATACATCAGACCCTAGTCTCGCATCAATTAATACATCAGACCCTAGTCTCGCATCAATTAATACATCAGACCCTCGTCTCATAGCAATTAATACATCAGACCCTCGTCTCACATCAATTAATACATCAGACCCTCGTCTCACATCAATTAATACATCAGACCCTCGTCTCACATCAATTAATACATCAGACCCTCGTCTCATAGCAATTAATACATCAGACTCTCGTCTCGCATCAATTAATACATCAGACCCTAGTCTCATAGCAATTAATACATCAGACCCTCGTTTCGCATCAATTAATACATCAGACCCTCGTCTCACATCAATTAATACATCAGACCCTCGTCTCGCATCAATTAATACATCAGACCCTCGTTTCGCATCAATTAATACATCAGACCCTCGTCTCACATCAATTAATACATTAGACCCTCGTCTCGCATCAATTAATACATCAGACCCTCGTCTCGCATCAATTAATACATCAGATCCTCGTCCCGCATCAATTAATACATCAGACCCTCGTCTCACATCAATTAATACATCAGACCCTCGTCTCACATCAATTAATACACCAGACCCTTGTCTCGCATCAATTAATACATCAGACCCTCGCCTCGCATCAATTAATACAACAGACCCTCGTCTCGCATCAATTAATACATCAGACCCTCGTCTCACATCAATTAATACATCAGACCCTCGTCTCACATCAATTAATACATCAACCTCTCGTCTCACAGCAATTAATACATCAGACCCTTGTCTTACAGCAATTAATACATCAGACCCTCGTCTTACAGCAATTAATACATCAGACCCTCGTCTCACATCAATTAATACACCAGACCCTTGTCTCACATCAATTAATACACCAGACCCTTGTCTCACATCAATTAATACATCAGACCCTCGTCTCACATCAATTAATACATCAGACCCTCGCCTCGCATTAATTAATACATCAGACCCTTGTCTTACAGCAATTAATACATCAGACCCTCGTCTTACAGCAATTAATACATCAGACCCTCGTCTCACATCAATTAATACACCAGACCCTTGTCTCACATCAATTAATACACCAGACCCTTGTCTCACATCAATTAATACATCAGACCCTCGTCTCACATCAATTAATACATCAGACCCTCGCCTCGCATTAATTAATACATCAGACCCTCGTCTCACATCAATTGATACATCAGACCCTCGTCTCACAGAAATCCATAGGAGGTGGACCCCATCACTCGCCCGTGACGACCAGATGTGATTAAATTACAGGGCCAGAAAATGATCAGTAAAACTAGTAAATAAACTGGCAAACTCACCGCTGGACACAAACAAGATATTCCAAGCTATCAAGCTTGTATTTGAAGACATTCTCAAGCATACAGATTATAATTTCCTTTTTTCTTTAGACATGCACACAGTTTGGGCAGCGTAAGACCAATAGTGGCAATATTTAGGGGGGAACATATATATATGTTCATATATCATATATGAACATATATATATGTTCATATATCATATATGAACCAGAGGTGTACCTTTATATATCGATAAATCAAATACAGTAAACGCCAGCGATGTACAAAACGTCAGATCATTCTTGGACCAAAAAGAGACCTGCGCATCACAATCTGTACTGACCATCCCATCTATCGATCGCTTTCAACACTACCGATACAAGGATAAAAATAGTCAATGGCACCCACGACTCAACAGATGGTTTCCCAATACGTTTCCAGTGTCGTTCGCTGTTCCATTAGTTTTCCTCTCCCCTTTACCGATTACTGTAACCTACTCGGTTTATTAGGCATTGTATTTAGTGCCTCTGTTAGGGACTATAACCATACGACTTTTTGTGAGAATTGAAAGGGGGTAAAGAGAGAAGGAGTCTGAAGTAATGGGGAGATATTCGACGCGTCTGAGTGTAATTTTTCGAAAGGTGATGATGTTGTTCGGTTAGTTTTGGGTCGTTTCGACATGCCGATGGAACCTATAGGAGGGGGATGGTACTCCGGCAGGGGCGAAGGAAGGGGAATAAAGCCAGAATGGAAAATGAGATATTATTGTAAACAGTAGAATGAATCTCCCCGAAATACGTTTAGTAACGATACATGTTGTAGAAAACATTACGGATTATTATGTTAAAATAATTCGAATAGTCGTTGACATTTCGTTGCCAACAGCGACGGCCTTTTATATTCCATCATCAAACACTTGTCGGATTAACGTGTTTGGTCTAATTGAGTTATTTCACACGAAGGGGGAGACAACTACCCCCCCATTGTTCCTTCCAACTCACTACATTTGATCACGAGTTACAGCCCCGCTCCTGTGCCAGGTAAGTCCACTACGGGCTCACCATAGCCCGTGCTACTTGGAACTTTTGTTCAGAGTAGCTGAATCTAAAACAACAACTACATTTGATCAACGTTTTCTCTACAAATTCCCCTCCCTTCCTCCCTCCCTTCCGCGACAGTGTTTAAAATAACAACCACGAAGGAATTTTCCCACCAGCATGTTATATCGTTCAAACCCTGCTGTTGTCTGCATATTTATTCTAATCCAATGAGTTACAGCTACAGTTTTTATGGTGAATTAAGGTTACTGGTGCAAGTCTATTGTGTTTCCATGTGTGGTGGTGGTGGTGGCGGCGCTGCTACCGGCCTCTGTGCACAATCGTTTCGACCTCTTTTGAATGCCAAGAAAGGCGAAAGGTCAGTCTCTCTCTAGTTTGAACTAAGGTTCGAGTCATTCTGTTTAACTAGTGTTATTAGTCTTAGCAGACGAGCTGAAAATATAGTTAAACATATAAATATATGGTGGTTACTAAATATGCCTTGGCAACTCCAAGGGGATTATAGCCGTTCAAATCCGCAGCTGCTCCGTCTGCTCCATATATATAAATATTTCATATATTTTTGAGTTCTTTCATACGTGATGTTTTTAATATATCACTGAGAGGCTAATGAGAAATATTATTAATTCAATTTCCTGAAATGTGAGGAGGCTGGTGACTGTGATTATTGACTGGTGAGAGAGAGAGAGAGAGAGAGAGAGAGAGAGAGAGAGAGAGAGAGAGAGAGAGAGAGAGAGAGAGAGAGAGAGAGAGAGAGAGAGAGAGAGAGAGAGATAGCGGGAGTCCGATGCTTCAACAAAGAACTCCACTTGGTTACGGCACGCGCCGCGCCGGACACGCGCTACCTACGGCACGAGCCGCACGTGTGTTTGGGCGGAGCTCGGCTTTCCCGCCCAGGCCCTCCTATTGGACGAATATTTGGCGGGAGGAATTTGGATTGGGTGGCTGACTGTTGATGGGTGGAGCTTATGCACGCGCGTAGGTCTTTGAGCAGAGGCACGCGCAGATGCATTCCGTTACCGCCGCGGTCAGAAGGGAGATTGTCGCGCGTCAGAAAACGGCGGCCAGTTTGAAGTGACGAGGATAAAACCGTTATTACCCGCCAGTGTCTGGAAATTAAGTCGCCTTTCTGGGTGTGTCCCGTGGAGTGTGTGTGTGTGTTGAGCGCGGTTGTGATCGTTGGGGGGACGGAGACTAGTTGTGAGGAGGGGGAATTATGCACGAGAAAGGACAGTGAAAGTTTGTTTAGTAGTGATATTGCAAAATCGGTGACGATGTCGACGGAGGTGGCGGTCATGCAGAAGGCTCTGAAGGTGGAGGTTCAGAGCCCGGTGAAACCAGAGGTCCTGAAGCCCTCCAACACCGCCAACCTCCAAAACATCACCAACATATCAGCCAAAATTCCTTCAATCAACAACAAGGCCGCGAACTTCACCAATAAAATCACCTCAAATGCCGTCACCAAAACAACAGACAGCTTTACTACTAAACACATGCTCGGGAGAGTCAACATCAGAATCCAACCAATCACTTCCAAGCCCAGCGTGATCAGATCCCCTTATCCACAGAGCACCAAATCTCCATTTAAGCCTCTGACGCCCATCAGACCTTCTCCAACAACCAAGAACTCCCTCACCTCCCCCGCACCAACCACCCCCAACACCCCCACCCGAACACCCACTTCCGTCTCCAAAGCCTTGGATTCCTCGTCTCTCTCCGCGTCGTTCAATGCGCTCCTCGCCTCTCCATCGTCGTCCTCGACGATCAGCCTATCACCGACCAAGTGCAGAAGAAGAATAAGCTACTCAGACACGGAGGTTCGTATTCCAGTGTCTAGAAGAAACGCCAGAGAGAGAAACAGAGTGAAACAGGTGAGAGAGAGCCGTGGTAACTGTTAGTATTACAAGTAGTTTTATCATTATTATTCAGAAGGATATCACGATATCGTGATATATCTGAGGGAAATCATTGGAGTAGAATCGTCTCGTGTTTCCGACTGGTTCGATCCCAGTCTTGCTTCAGTATATATATAGCTATTTTAATATTATTGATATTAGTGTCATTATTATTATTACTCTATATTAATAGTATTAAATTTGACTGTTGCTTTAATATTTATATTTACTTGATAGACACGTCATTATATATAATTATTTCTTTGCAATTGTAATTGCTTATGTGTTTGTACCTGAAACCTTATCGAGGCTTTTCATTCCATTTAGCAACGGATTCATGGCTCAAGGTTCTCTTTTGGAACGAAAAACAATGAATTTTATGCAACATTTTTTATTGTCTCTAACAATAATTTTTTTTACGTTAGCAGCATGAGATGAGTTTTCATTGTATTTTATTAACTACAGTATTTCAGAACTGATGTGGATAAGTTAATAAATATTATATATATATATATATATATATATATATATATATATATATATATATATATATATATATATATATATATATATATAAATATATATGCGAACAAGCCTGAATGGTCCCCAGGACAATATGCAACTGAAAACTCACACCCCAGAAGTGACTCGAACCCATACTCCCAGGAGCAACGCAACTGGTATGTACAAGACGCCTTAATCCACTTGACCATCACGACCGGACAAAATAAGGTGATAGCCGAGGCTATTTGAACCACCCCACCGCCGGCACTCGGATAGTAATCTTGGGCATAGCATTTTACCAAATCACCTCATTCTTTGGGGCACACGTGAGGAACACAAATGCGAACAAGCCTGAATGGTCCCCAGGACAATATGCAACTGAAAACTCACACCCCAGAAGTGACTCGAACCCATACTCCCAGGAGCAACGCAACTGGTATGTACAAGACGCCTTAATCCACTTGACCATCACGACCGGACAAAATGAGGTGATATGCCCAAGGTGATATGCTATGCCCAAGATTACTATCCGAGTGCCGGCGGTGGGGTGGTTCAAATAGCCTCGGCTATCACCTCATTTTGTCAGGTCGTGATGGTCAAGTGGATTAAGGCGTCTTGTACATACCAGTTGCGTTGCTCCTGGGAGTATGGGTTCGAGTCACTTCTGGGGTGTGAGTTTTCAGTTATAAATATATATATATATATATATATATATATATATATATATATATATATATATATATATATATATATATATATATATTGTATGTAGAATAATTTCATTCTGATTTGTTGCTGCTGCTGTTGCTGCTGCTGTTGCTGCTGCTGTTGCTGCTAGTGGGGCTGCTGTTGCTGCTGCTGCTTCTGCTCTTGCACCTTCTGTTTTTAATGTTTCTGCTGCTGTTCGTACTGACTGCTGTTCGTATTGCTGGCACCACTAACACTGTTGCAACTGTTGCTGGTACTGCTGCTTCTGCTGTCACTGCTACGGTTCAGGTTGCTGCTGCAGGTGGCACTGCTGTGGAAATTGGTACAGCTGCTCGTTATCCTGCTGCTGCTGCTGCTGTTTCCTGCTGTGGTACTGTTGTTATACTGCCTGCTGAACCTATTGCTGTGGGGGAACATCTACGATATTTCCTTCTTTTACTTATAATACTGCTATCACTACAATATAGCAAGTACTTACGAACGTGTACATCTTTCCTCAATATTTGAGGCCTTTGGTTACATTTATTAAATAGTTTACAAGCATGAAAACTTCCCAATCTACAGGTATTATTATAAACAACTTCGTGGTGCTTCGGAGCTCATTAACTGTTTAATAATTGTAAACAAAGTCGCCAAAGATTGAGAAAAGATGTACAGGTTCGTAAGTACTTGCGTAACTACTTCGTGAATCTGGCCCCCAGCTTCCTCTCTCTATCTCCTCCTTCTCTCCCTGTCTCCTCCTTCTCTCCCTGTCTCCTCCTTCTCTCCCTGTCTCCTCCTTCTCTCCCTGTCTCCTCCTTCTCTCCCTGTCTCCTCCTTCTCTCCCTGTCTCCTTCTCTCCCTGTCTCCCCACTTTCTTCTAGACGGCAGCTTGGCCTCACAACATCAACAAGTGCTATATAACCTTAGATTATTCGGCCCAGCTGAGTGTTCATATACTTCGCTGCCGAAGGATTCCTTGCTTCCTCCTCCTCCTTCTTCTGAGAATCCCCCGGTGTCTCCCGAGAACCCCTCCCTCCCCCCGCCCCCCCGGTGGCTGTTGGTGGGGGCTGTTGTGGTTGGGTCATTCCATGCATTTCCGCTTCTGCCATTTCGAGCCCTTTTGTCTTCTTCCCTTTTTCCTTCTTTTATTTTTTTATCTTTGTTCTTCTTTTCCATCTTCCCGTTTTTATTCTTTTCCTCTTGCTCAATCTTCATCTATTTGTCCTGTTCTTCTGTCTGTTCCTCATTCCCACTTCATGGGGGAGGGGGGGGGGGGGGGAAATTTCCTGTCCTGGCAGTATATATTAACAATTTCTGTATCTTGTCGTCTAATAAGCTCTCTATATAAAAACCTAATCACCCACATTTCCTTCTAAGATACCGGAGTATTGTGTATTATTGTGTGATACTAAAATATACACTTCAAACACTATGTTTATGGTAAGCATAGCTCTCAGATCAAGTCTTGAGAAAAATATATTTGTTATTCTCTGGATATCGAAATTCAGTCTAGAATCAAGAAAAATTATGTTGGGGTGTGATGTGTTTATTCTGTAGATGTTTTCCAATGATGTGTTCGCGATACGTGGTTAGCTGTCTCATTACAGCTTTAGCTTGTTGCAGAGTCTGAGTGCAGTTGTAACACGACCTCCTGGGGGGTGTGTTTGTCGTTTCCTCTGTCCTTGTCTGCTTGTTAAGGGGGGGGGGGCAGTAAGCGGTTGAGTTATTTGCGCGAGCATCTTCTTCTCTGTCTGGCATTCTCTTCTACCTTCTTCAACTTGCAATGCTTTTCCCCTTTTCCATCTTCTCTTTCCCGTCTTTCTTTTGTTTTAATTTTTTATTTTATTATATATATTATATCGGAATATTTGGTCTGTAAAATATAATTCGTTTATTAGATATTAATCCTGATATTTCTCAGGAGCAGAATAGAAACTTAACTGCTAATGTTCTAGTAGGAACATAGTACCTAGAGGCTATGTCACCCCCCCTTGTTTTATACAATGATTGTGCATAGTTCATGATTAACGAGGTGAACAACGGATGGCACATTGTGTGGGATAATGACGCCCCTTGTACCATTACCAACTTGTTCTACCATAAGATATCATTAAATTCAGTTGCCCTAATTTTGTGTAATTTCATAATAATTGCCAACTGTCTTTTATAGTCAGGGAGGGAGAAAGCGCCAAGCTATAACGATTATAGTGAATGTCTAATGCATTTTAGAGATTTAAAATGAAAGTATTAAGATCATTGGAAGACCAAAGCAAAAGCCATTCTGTACAAAGTGTCACGAAAGAGTGCAATGTACAAAGTGTCACGAAAGAGTGCAATGAACAAAGCAACGAACACGTACCATCAATGTGTAGAATGATGAGTTTGTTGACAGTTGATACTACTCTCTAAACGCCACATCTTACCACTAAGCCCATCGTCCTACAATGTCTACTCTCATCAATTTCTTTCAACGCCCTCTAATCAACAACGATATGGTTTTTTTTTCCTTAAAGTCCTTCCGTAAATTCTCCTAAGGCCCCGACTGCCGCCTGTATCATGCTCGCTGGGTCCTCGGAGTCTCCACTACCGCTGGAAGGCTTGGCGTTTTAAGATAGCAACTCGAAGATAACCATCAGTTGGCTTTTGCCTCCAGGGTCTGATCATATTTCTCTGTGCTCCCAGCTACTCTCATCAGGGGCAGGGGTGATTACTCACACATCTCGCTACCTTAGTTCTGTCAGCCTGTTGTGTCTGGGATTACCATTACCCCTCACAATGGTCGCCTAACTCCTCGGGTACCCATGGACGTGGTCCACACATTTACAATGCCAATCAGCATATTTATATGCATTTTCTCCTGTCCTTCATGGACAGGGTTAGAGATCTGTTAAACATATATTACAGTGATTTATTGAACAATCAGCCACAGAAGGTGAAACGTGCCCAAACGTCTCGTTCTGGCTGGGGGATCGAACTGTTGTCTAATCGGGGTTTTAGTGCTTCCGTTCAGTGAGTTCCATAGCACTTCCATCATGTATGGCTTCAGTGTATTTTAGTACCTTCTTTGTTGGTTTAATAGACTTCAGTCATCCAGATCCTATCATGCTGTTATACATTTTAGAGCGTTTATGCTCCAGTCTTTGAGTTCTTATACAATGTCGTAGCTCAGTCGATTAAGGCATTGTCTGGGATGCTCTCGGACGCAGGTTCGAATCCTCGTCACGGCTCTTGTGGATTTGTTCATTTGAGTTCCTTATTTGTCCAGTTTCTTAATGTCGCTGTTGCTCTGTTCCAGCTCAAAAGTGATTCTGGGTTCCAGTTTGTAGGCGACTCTGTGTTCCAGACCTTAAGTGATTATCTATTCCAGCCCAAAATTGATTCTATGCTCCAGATCCTAAGCGACTCTGTGTTCCAGACCTTAAGTGATTATCTATTCCAGCCCAAAATTGATTCTATGCTCCAGATCCTAAGCAACTCTGTGTTCCAGACCTTAAGTGATTATCTATTCCAGCCCAAAATTGATTCTATGCTCCAGATCCTCAGTGATTCTCTGGACAAGTGTCTTCGGTGATTCAGTGACTCCCTACCCCCTTCTCAAGTTGTATGTTCCAGATTCTTTTCCAGTTCCTTTCACCTGACACCTACTGCCTGGAAATTTATGGAAGCAATCTCCGGGTGATATTACTCTTACAGGATCGCTGGATTGTTTCAAGCGTAGTCTGGGTTTAAATAGGAGTTGCCTTGCATAATCCAATAGAATTTCCAAAGTTTCCTTTATTCTCTTTGTTTCTCTCTGGTTTTATGTTTCAGAATTTTATGTTTATCTGTTTCATTAGTTCTGCATTCTCAATTTCCCCCTGTTCCAGATAGCTTCTCCCGTTCCAGAGAGAATTCTTCGTTCATTATAGCATTACCCATCCCTTATAGCATTCTCCGTTCCAGATAGAATGCTCTGTTCCAGATGGCCTTCTTCGTTAATTTATCTATGTTTCTCCGTTCCAAGTCGTTAATGTACTCGCCTAGTACTCACCTAGTTGTGCTTGCGGAGGCTGAGTTCTGGCTCTTTGGTCCCGCCTCTCAACTGTCAATCAACTGGTGTACAGATTCCAGAGCCTACTAGGCGCTATCATATCTACATTTGAAACTGTGTATGGAAGCTGCCTCCACCACATCACTTCTTAGGGCATTCCATACCAGATTCTGCGTTTCTTGAGATCAACGTTTGAGTGTTTTGGGCCCTTTCTGGCCAAGTCTTGAAGAACCATCAGAAACATGGTTCCACACTCTCAGTGAGTCCCCATTCCAGGTTCTCTGTGGTTCCTTATTCCAGGTTTACTCTGGTTCTGTGTTCCACGTTTTTTTTTCAAGCACTATCTTTCAGTACATCTTTATTTCTGTGTTGGCTCGAGGTCACATGCAGTTAGTTGATTTACTATTTAAAAACTCAAAATTGTTACGTACTTAAAAATGCTAATTAGAAGAATACCAGATTTCAATGGACCCCTTTGAGCCAAAAAATCCAATAAACTGTTTTGTTATCCTAACAAAACTCTATCCTACTCCGGTTATCCTAACTGGATTGTGGGATCAGATGGAAGTCCTGACATTGTCAGACAATGAACTGGTCGAAAAAGTGTTAATTTCCTGGAACTCATTCGAAATGGTCGATAGTTTCGTTTACATAGTGGTTTCTGTGTATTCTATTATAATTCTGTTAATTATGTTCACTGGTACAACAAATCTAGCCGTATGTGTGTCTCTGAGTGCAGCTGTGTGGTGTGACTGAGTGCAACTGCATGTGTGTGGCTGAGTGCAGCTTCCAGCGAAGCAGAGAGGAGAGAGAAACACCCCCCCTCCCCACCTCCATCATCCCCCACTTCCCTCCCCCCCTCAGCATATGACTGAAGAAGGTCAAGGATAACAGGAGAAAGGAACTTGAATTATCCTCCCCTCTCCCCCACTTTCCCCTCTCTCACTCCCCTCCCTCACTCCCCTCCCTCACCCATTCGCCGTGAAATGGGTCTCTCTCTCTCTCCCCTCCCCCCATCTCAGGTTACTCATAGCTTCATGCATATATTCTCTATATCTACTGAGCGTTAGTTCGTATCATTCATCTAGTTTTTATGTAAACTGGAAATATTCTGTAAAATTTCCTGTTTGAGTGAATAAGTATACTGTATTAACGTTTGTGCTCTGTACATTGGGGTTTTTTAATATATAATTATTTATATGTACTAATTATTTATATGTATATAATTATTTATATGTATTTTGATGTATAATTATGTATATGTATTTTAATATATTACATAATTATTTATGTTGATCATATTTGTTCTGGCTGTGTGATCTTGGCGTTATAATGTCAAATGAGTTGTATATCAATCAATTTTCAACTTTTAACTTGTCATTATTCTTCTGTGCGTTCCCTATCTTCTCTCTCTCTCCACCTTGTATGGTTTTCTCTATGTCTCTCTCTCTCTCCTCTCCTCCTTAAACCCTTCATTTTTTCTGGCTTTTCTCATCTCTACTCTATGCCCTTCGTTCCTACTTCTCAGGACTCATCTCTCTCTCTACCTCTTGCAACTCTCCAGGACTCTCCTCCTCAAAGAGGACTCTCCTTAACACCACCACACTTGCTTGCTTCACACTCTTCAGAACTCTTAACCTTGTTGTCAAGGAGAACGGGAACCAGGATGTGCTGGACACACACACACACACACACACACACACACACACACACACACACACACACACACACACACACACACACTTCAAGTGTGGTTTTAGCTCTTTCATGAAGACTTATGTTGAGTAGCCTGAAGCACCGAGCAAGAAGCCCTCGTCTGGATCAAAGAGATACTATAAAAACCGCTTTACAATCTCTCTCTCTCTCCTGTGAATCTTGCCTCTTCAACAATGGAAGATTTCCCCACTCTTGCAAGTTTCCTCTCCATATGCCAGTAACCTGTTCCAACCTCTTTTATACCATCTTTAGGTACTATCCCCTATCCTTCCAGTGTGGCATCTGTGTGGATGCCCTCTGTACTATTCCCATCCTTATTGTATTCCATTTGTGCAATGTCCGTTTATCTTTGCAATTTGTATTATCCCCGTTCATATACATCGACTATGTATAATCGATGATAGGTCACATGTGTGCCACGTGACGTATCCATGGATTATACATAGGTACTACAAAGATAATGTTGTATGGAATAACGTAATGTGGTCATTGTAGCATCATTACCTCATTGAGCTCGGTTACGATGTCTCTCACATTTCTACTTACGAGCTATCGTACGTTGTGGCATTTACAATAATTTACGATATCATAATATTCTTTTTTGTAGTAGCCTAACAATTCCGGTATCGTTTAATATGCTTCTTGTATTAGTCTAATACCTACAGCTATTGTTCAAAATGCTTGCTGCAGTAGCCTAATTCTCCCACGATACAATGCGCCGTTTCCTGTATGTTACGGGTATCGTAATCATCCAGTAGGGACCTTGCCACTGACTCTGTCTCTCTCGATATCAGGTATCGCAAGGGTTCGCTATCCTCCGCCAGCACGTTCCTCAAGCCGCTCGCAAGAAAAAACTTAGCAAAGTGGAGACCTTACGTTGTGCCGTCGACTACATCCGGGGCTTGCAGCTGCTGCTGGATAACCATCCTTCAACCACCCAACAGCCCTTGACCGCCGCCGCCAACCCGTCCTACCACCACCATCATCACCATCACCAGCAGCAGCAGCAGCAGCTGCAGCATCCCCACCAGGTGTTCTTGCAGCCTCACTCTACCATAGAGCCGCATATCCTGAAACTTCCCGTGGCTGATGAGGCCTTCCACTCACCAGCCTCCCTCAGGTTTGCTCTCCATGAGGAGTATTTTGTTTGGAAAACTATTTTTCGTGTATTTTTTATGAGGAAATGTATCGTGTGTGTGTGTGTGTGTGTGTGTGTGTGTGTGTGTGTGTGTGTGTGTGTGTGTGTGTGTGTGTGTGTGTATACTCACCTACTTGTACTCACCTAGTTGTGATTACATGGGTTGGACTCTGGCTCTTTTGTCCCGCCTCTCAACTGTTAATTAACTGGTGTACAGGTTCCTGAGCCTACTGGGCTCTATCACATCTACATTTGAAACTGTGTATGGAGTCAGCCTCCACCACATCACTGCCTAATGCATTCCATCTGTTAACTACTTTGACACTGAAAAAGTTCTTTCTAACGTTCCTGTGGCTAATTTGGGTATTAAGTATCCCCTTGTTCGCATTATATATTTTATCTTTATCTACCCTGTCAATTCTTCTGAGAATTTTGTAGGTAGTGATCATGTCTTCCCTAACTCTTCTGTCTTCCAGTGTCGTGAGGTTCAGTTCCAGTAATCTTTCCTCATAGCTCATTCCTTTCAGCTCGGGGACTAGCCTGGTGGCACACCTCTGAACCTTTCCTAACTTCGTTTTGTGTTTGACTAGATGTGGACTTCAGGCTGGAGCCGCATATTCCATTATTGGTCTGACATACGTGGTACACAAGGTTCTGAATGATTCTGAATGACCTGCCTTCAGAAACACAAAGTTTCTAAGATTTCAGTCTCTTATTATGTTCGCGTGTGATGCGTGTGTATACGCATATGTGTACTCACCTATTTGTGCCTGCAGGATCGAGCTTTGACTCTTGAATCCAATTTTTTGAATCCATTGACTCTTGGATGTGTATACATAAATGTGTGAAAGTGTCTTCATATGAGTATGTGTATGTGTGTATGTGGGAATGTGCGTGAGTCTGTACGTGTGAGTGTGCGTGAGTCTGTACGTGTGAGTGTGCGTGAGTCTGTACGTGTGAGTGTGCGTGAGTCTGTACGTGTGAGTGTGCGTGAGTCTGCAGGAACGAGTGCACGCGAGTGTGTAGGCGTGAGGGGCTTATTTTCCACTCACCAATATTTTTTCCTCACCCAACTCCTTTCATCTTAAGTCATTCAGGAAGCTTCTAAGGAACTTTATTTCGAGCTGAAATTTTTTCTTTCTCCGGGTCATGCCTTGCTGAGTCCCCACCCTATACCTTGTCTTTTCACTTACCTAAGGTAAAAAAAAAAAACTATATATGCAAGCGTTGTTGCCTGTTTGGCATTTTAGGGGAATTTCTTCCCATTGACTAATTGTTCTCATCCTAATGGTGTGTATATTTACTATTTGTGCCTGCAGAAGCGAGCTCTTAGCTCTTGGATCCATGGGATTCTGGCTCTTGTGTGTGTGTGTGTGTGTGTGTGTGTGTGTGTGTGTGTGTGTGTGTGTGTGTGTGTGTGTGTGTGTGTGTGTGTGTGTGTGTGTGTGTGTGCGCGTGCGCGCGCGTGCGTGTGTTTTATTTATTGCAAAATTAGCACTGACATCATTTGTAAAATAATATTCTCTAATGACCAAAGATCAAGCCACTTTATTTAATTTATAAATGTCAATATCTGAATACCGATAATTTTGCAACATTTATATGTAATATAACATAACGAGTCAAAATTATATTGCAGTACGACCCTTGTCAAGTGTTACAACATTGCGGCTATAATACGCAATTCCACGCCCACAACCACAGCTCCAAATCTGCCCTTGTAACGCGAGCCATGTCGTATATAGCATCTTCTCCCCTCTTCGCAGATATGACGGCATCGCTGGGGCGTTCCTGAGGACTTCTCCAACGGAATCTGAAGGAGGACAATCCCCCTCCCACATCTTCTACAGCGACAAGCTGTCCTCGTCCTCTACCACCTCTCCATCATCGTCCTCCTCCTCGTCGACAGGGGTATGCATGGGAACTATCAAGACTGAAGGGAATGATACCAGGAACTATGGCAGAGAGGAACAGGACCTGCTGGAAGCGCTTGCCTGGTGGCAACACAATATCCAACCGTAGGGAGAATGTCATGGCTGGATAAACTGACGGTGATACATGGTGATACATGTTGACGGGGCGGTGTGAAACGTGTAAATGGGGGGCAGAGATACGTGCATTAACGGAATACGTGTGTTGACTACAAAGTGAATGAACAAAGTGTGTCTTTTAGGGCAAAAAGAGTTACCACATGAACTGTTTGTATGAAAAACTGTGTCTGGGGGGAAGCTCAAACAGGAGAGTATTGTAATGATCTCAATATTCTGGATACAAATTTTCCAATAGTGAATCCCACTCATGGGGAGCTGCTTGTGAGCTGCTTCGCTTAATGACCTGATCACAGATCTCTGTACATTACTTGCTCATCAATTCATTGTAACATCAAACTGTTTTAGAGTTTGAAAGTCGTGTATTGACTGACCGTATATATATATATTATCTATTTTCATGAGTGTTTAGCCAATATGAAAGAAGTGCGGCTTTCAAATGTGAAAAAAATCAAGGTAGGAATGACGAAGAATCAGCTCGTGATATATGGCCATCTCTCTCTCTCTCTCTCTCTCTCTCTCTCTCTCTCTCTCTCTCTCTCTCTCTCTCTCTCTCTCTCTCTCTCTCTCTTTCTCTCTCCACATTATTCCATTCTCATTATCGCTCTAATTTAATTATTTTACATATTCCTGTGTAACTGTCTTCAACCTGCAGTTCTTAACAGTTACCGTATGTTTTTGAACGAAAATACAAAATATCATTTATTCTTTATCTTGCATATATGCTAATCTCCAGTGTAACTTGAGCTGACCCAATCTCTTACCAATCTCTTTCTCCTACGTCTTGGAGAAAGCCTTTCAGCCTTTCAGTCTCGTCTTGGCCAAAATTCAGAGCTGGTTCTTACAGTCCCTTCCCCCGTTCTAGTCCAAGTTGTGGTTTGAGTCAAAATCTCAACTTAAACTCGAATATATAAGTGTTTCCATGATCTTAGAAATCGTTGTGGTTTCTCACCCGTCCCACTTATCAGGGGCACCTGGTGTGTGTTGAGATAACCACACAAGTGTTCATCCTAATTTATTGATAGATATAAATATATATATATATTTTTTCTCACTTTTTAGTTATTTTGATTCTTTCTATGGCAGTTTTAAGTGCCTTGAGTGTTTTATTGCTGTGTATTGCTTCTTCCTTCCCATTTTTAAACTCCCGTAAGTGCCTGTTTCATGGAAAATTAATGTTTCGTCAAGAAGTGCCTTAAGTAATGAGAGTGCCTTAAGTAATCAGAGTGCCTTAAGTAATGAGAGTGCCTTGTGTTACCAATACTGGTGATGGGACATGACGTCCTCTTACTCCAGGACGACCTAAGCCAGGATGTATAATCTTGTCCATCATAGAGATTAACTATTAGTTTTCATATATGATAAAATATTGTGTTTCTCAAATGCAAATTAGTATTATTATAAATCGTAACTAGTGAAGTTAGGTAGTTGTATGTGTATTTAAAACAGGGAGCGGAAGTGAACGAGGTAGGCCTCGTAGCCCTGTAACATAGGCCTAATTAACCTTCGAGGGCCAGGGTGTAGACAAATCTATGTGTAGACATAGTGCATGTAGGGGCCTGATAGCTGGGTGGACAGCGCTTCGGATTCGTAGTTTTGAGGTTCCGGGTTCGATCCCCGGTGGAGGCGGAGACAAATGGGCTAAATGTTTCTTTCATCCTGATGCCTCTCCCCCTGTTACCTAGGGAAGGTTATCTAGCGCGTTGATTCCTGGGGTCATGGTCCCCCGCGGCCCGGTCTCTGACCTGGCTAGGTAATTACCAGGAGAGCGCCCTAAGCCATGACAACTATATAACACTTGGAAAGCATATGAGGATAAGGATTTGGGATTGGACGGAGGGAAGAAACACTGCCCAATCACTTGGACAATCGGGGATTGAACGTTGACCTGCAAGAAGTGAGGCCATCCCTCTACCGTCCAGCTCAAGTGATTGGGTCCCAAACCATATTAATGTGTATTTACGAAATACCTTCTCCTTGTTACTCCATTTTAAATTATCTAGGTGTTTTGAAATCTTAGAAGATGGGAGACTATACTCCAATATTCCTCAAATTACAGATAACATCATTGCGTCTCCTTACGTTAGATTTACACGTTCGTGATTTATTTCTTTCGTTAAAAAAAATAAAAAAAATCACACTGCTAAGGTCTCTTTTTGCAGCTTGAATTTAATTTATTTTTAATCTAATTACGATAATCAAGGTCAACCTGGCGTAACAAATTAACATTACCTTAACTCCGAAAACTACGAAATATAAGTTATTGGTGAACGAAGCCTTTGGTGCTAAGATTACCAGTCGGTGGCTGTATACACTTTGTTTGTGTCTTGTATGACGGCTTTTCGTATGATTTTGTTATATATATATAAAACGCTCTCACATGTACCTGATTTAAAAAAACACTACACAAGGAAACACATATAAACATAATACACTATTGGCACTTTCTATAGCTTTATATATATATATATATATATATATATATATATATATATATATATATATATATATATATATATATATATATATATATATATATATATATATATTCCCGAATGTGTGAAGTTCGGAACTTCTTACTCTAGAGCTGTCACTGTAATATAATGCAATATATATATATTAAAATTAAAATAACTTAAGATTGCGTTTCATTTCATATATTTTGTTTTCTGAGGGAGAGGGAACTGCTTCCTTTCATCCCTGAGTCATGTTCGCAGACATGTGTGGGTGACAGTGGCTTCCCGGTGTTCATTCTGGACTAATCTCGTAAATATGTAGACAAATATGTATTCTCGTATATGTAGGTCATTAGAGTAGTTAATGCCTAATAGTCGATATCCTTAGCTCTTTCCCTAACGATAACATTTTTTTTTAAAAGCCTGAGGTGTTGATAACAGTCTCTCTCAGACTCCTTATCTCGATATAATTTCTACAAGGACTTTGAAATCTTCAGCATCACTCATGTTGAGAAAACTTCTGTGATGGATGTGGAGCCGTCAGCATCCGCCAGCACCTTCAAATGTGTGCAACTCAGTAGCCTTGAGTTTAAAAGAGCTGCACTGCCCGCCACAGATCTTTTTGATACTCAACCCAGCACGTGATGTCCTAAGAGAGTCATCACATCTTAGCACAGCAGGAGAGAAAGATGTCTTAAAGAAGTAACATCTTCACATATCAAGAGTTAAGAAGAGAGAATAAGCACACCAAGAGAAACACGAAGAAGAGAAGGGGAAAAAAATAGACAAAGCCAGAAGAAGAATGTTATATAGAGCAGATGAGAATGATTTAGTGGATAAATGTCATCTATCTAGCACCATAAGAGCCGAGCATCCCCGATTAAAGTTATCGACAGCCATATCGACAGTTATCGACACCGACGGTCTGGAGCATTACTGTGTGAACGCAGCCATAAATCCAGCCCACAGAAATAATGTCTAGTCTTCCTCTGTAATTTCATAATCATCATCTACGCCAAAAAATGGGATTTTGTTTGTCATTTGTTCAGGAGATACAAACAACACAGTCTTCAGGACTGTGTTATCCTACAGTTATCCTATCCTCCCTCAGTTACATGTTATCCTATACGGATGATTTCAAGACAGTAGCAGAACTCGAGCAATTAAGAACAAAGACGGGAGTAGTGTCTAGCTCATAGTTTTCCTGGCCAAATGCCTCCTTTTGATAACTACTTACTGTCTTATAGGAGTTTCCTACAATTAAAAGCAGGTTAAGTTTTAATTGATGTACAGCTAGCTGTTCACTCTGATCACAGCTGTAGTGATTTGATGAAATCACTTACGAATAAAGCTTCAAAGTCTAAATCTAAAGCGAGGGGGGGGGGTTACTTCCATCACAGGTGGAGAGAAAAAAAACTGAGAAGGTAAAATTATTTATTACACTTCCACCCAAATCTGTCCACTCACTTTAAGTTTGGGGTCTGGAGATGTCAGCCAGAGAAAGGGTTCGCCATGTCTCTGTCTCTCTCTAGGAGAGCTAGGAGAGAGACAGAGAAACCCTAGTCTAGAAGACTAGGGTTTCTTATAGCTGTCTGATACTCCAAGAGCTGTCCTACCCCTGATGGGCAGAGTTTTTTCACCCTTTGCCCCTGTTACCTAGCAGTAAATAGGTACCTGGGAGTTAGTCAGCTGTCACGGGCTGCTTCCTGGGGGGTGGAGGCCTGGTCGAGGACCAGGCCGCGGGGACACTAAAAAAGCCCCGAAATCAACTCAAGATAACCTCAAGAAGGTTGTTACAGTTGTTCAAAGTTACAGATATTACAAAAGGTTGTTCAGTTATTCAACAAAGGAAAATTTTCCCTTGCTTGAAATTGTTCAGAGAATCAGTAATTCTCAGATAACCAGCACTAACAGCGGTGTATAAATAATACACTACAATACCCAATATTAATAAAAACTAGTTGTAATATATTGCTTTGATTGTCTCTCCACAAATAGCTACTGGTGACTATCTAGCAACCTGTAATCAGTTAATAATCGAGAACTGCGTGAAAGATATCCCTTGGTTGCTGGCGATGGAATTGTAGACTAAATATTTTATGTTTATAACAAAATGTAATTACCCTGCTTTGGCCTCGGATCCTTTTCCTATCGTCAGCCTTCCCTTCCATCCCCCAAACCATGGTCAAATCTCTTTTTCCGTATCCCAAATATATTACAAACCGAAGAAAAATCTATTAGGTACTAACACTCCCATCATTATTGACCCAAAGGTCAGTAGATTGCCAACAAGGTTACTACTACTAATTGCTATACGAGATGAACTATTTTAGCATTTAATGATTTTAAATAAATATATTTGTAATCAGACATTTTCACTCAAAAAAATGGAAGCATATATCTTCAAAATGGTTTTAAAATATTTTTTTTATATATAAATTTCTCAGTAACGTTATTATGGAAGATCTCTCGGATCCTCGTGACAAAAGAACTCTTCCATCGCCCATTCTCAGCAAATACAGTTTTTTTTCTTCTCTTAACCCATCAAGTGGAATTGTTCTTTGTCTTCACATTTCGTAAATTGAATGTCTTCCCCTGAACAACTGACCAAATACTTGTAATCACTTCCGAACCTGACCAAACAGTTATCTTCACCTCTGCACATGATCCAGGGAATATTTTACCACCACAACCGATTAATCACATATAGTTATGATATCCAGAACTTTATTACAAAACCTTCATTCTCTTCCTCCTTTGTTCTCTAATTTTTATATCAGATTTTTTCGGCAATTAATAGCTTTTACCACTGAATCTTTGCTGACTGCCTGGAATTGAAAACACGATATTGGTGATACAAATTATATCCCCATGCAGCAAATGATAGATTTTTACTTACAACATTATTTGTAATACACACGAATGCATGGCTAGAGGCGCTGTCGGTTTCCTTCGCGAGCAATGATGGGATTGGAGATATTGTGGGTGGTCTCTGGTACCCACATGGGAGCAGGACTGCCTGTTAGATCTCCAGTACCCACATGGGAGCAAGACTGCCTGTCAGATCTCCAGTACCCACATGGGAGCA